GGGGGGCGCCACAGCCGGCGGCGCTGCGAGGCTGAAGGTCGCCAGTTCGAGGACCGCGGCCGCCCCCGAGACAGGTAGAAGCCAGGCAGGTTTATACGTTAAAAGAGTTTTATTTGCTAATATAAAAAAACAAACCAAGAACAATACTCGTGAATACACATAAAGTCTCGCTGCGGAGGCACAGCGGCGCTATTCACTAGCTACACCACGGCCTTGGCCATCGGAGCCCCACGCGATCCCAGCTGAGCACCGCCGGGCGCTGCCCGCGCAGGAGCTGAGCACACGCGTGTGCCAGGCACCGACACGTGCCCCAGAGCGGGCATCCCACCCTCCAGCCTTAATCTACTTTAACAGGGAGCTTGTATTTCCTAGAATGGTGTTAGTAACCTCTACGACTGTTAGTTCGGTTTCTTCCCAACGGCAGACAACGAGCAGTGCTCCGCCCCTTGAGACCAGACCTCAGGCGCGTCTCCGTCGCGTCCAGCATTTTTCATCCTGAGCAATCACCTTGTCATGGGTCAGAGTTGTTTCAGCAAAGCTGACGCCCCTCCAGCAAAAAAAAATTTGTTTAAAGATACATCAGGGAGCATTCAGAATTTTGTGAGGAGGAAGAACAGTGAGAAAGCGTAAGGGCAAAGGAGTTATGTCAGCGCGAGCAGCAGCAGGACCAGCCAGTGGTCCTTCAAACCACCTCCCTTGGCCACTGTTGCACTCACATCCCACCTGGCCTCTTCCCAGGGGAAGCCTGAGTCACAGTACTTTTTGCCAAAAAACCTCCTGCACCCCATGTGCTTGCCTGCAGTCGCGTGTGCGGCAGAGCTGCGCTGCTCCTGCACCTCCAGGGCTGGTCCCAAACTCCACACCGACACTGGCTGCTCCGCAGCGGCACCGTGCCCGGCCAGCTCGGGCTGCACGTGAGCCGACGCTGCCGGAGGGAGCCGCAGAGCACCAGTCCCCAACAGCCACTGCTCCCCCAGTCCTGCTCCTCTCACCTGGAAAAGCCATCGATCGTTGCAAACCCGAGAGCAGTTTCTAACCCACACACTGCACAGCTCCGACAGGGACTCTACAGTCACCGGCCCATCTGCGTCTGGGACCCTGCAATCGCAGAGAAACCCTCTGATTTCTCCGTTCAGGATGAGGAACGGTACCAGCAGTACTAGGCTGCTCTCATTTTTCACGGTCGTGTTTAAACCCACCATCCAAGCTCACCAAAGCAAGCACCACTCGGGCACACACCAGTCAATCCTCACCGGAACAGAACGCACGCAAACCCCAGCTCACCAGACCTGGACGTGCTCCCTCACCACCGACACCCTAAAACAGCCCTAGACACTTCCAGACGTTTGGTACTCACCTCCCAAGAACAGCTGACTGGTTTTGAGCCTTGCTGCCAACACATAGGGCAAGAAAAAAAGACGGTCCTACCTGTTCCCAGGGCTGGGACTGGTCACCCTGAGGACACTCAACTCGAGCCTTCTCGTGGAGCTATCGGGACACGCCACTGCAGCCATCTACTGCTAGCCTGGCTTCCTCAAGCGACCGCGCTCTTTAGGTTCACTTGCTGGCGCTTTTCAGCGAAAGCTGAGACAAACACCTCAGAACAAAATTCCTATTAGACTTAGGAGAAAAATGATGTCTAGGCAGCAGACAGAGCCGCATCATTCCCACTGAGGAGAAGGCCACGGCACAACGTTTCATTATATATTCTTATGCACCAGAGAATCCACAGGGAAGAAAGACACCATGACACAGCTGCACGGAAACTTCCGACCAGAGCTTGAGCTGCATGAGGCGCGCACACACACACAGACAAACCGGCTTCCAGTCCTGCTGGTCACAGAGCTGCCCACACAAGCCCGCTGAGGCCTCACGGACGGGTCAGCCCAGGCTGCAGGGAGCGGCGGGGACTCCCCCCGTTCTCTGGCACAGCCCATGGGGTTGGGGTGGGAGAGGGGAGCAAGGTCGGCTTGAGAACTCGCGGTTACTTTACCATTTCCCACACACACGCTACACAACTTGTGCCATCTTTGTCTATCAAAAAGTGAATTTATTATCCCCTCCTGGTAAAAAAGTGAAAAGCTATGCTCTGTTAGACCAGTAAGATACAGAATTACTCCAGCTCTTTGGAGGTTTTTAGATACAACTTAGAAGTGTATTATTCCACAAAGGAACAGCAAGCACCTTTCTTAAGAAAGGAAACTCTTTAATGGGTCAGCCTTTCTCTTTTGAGCAGAAGAAGATGTATCCATTACAGGACTCCCTTTCTGCCCAGATGACTCCCGTGAAACTCCCTAACACCCTCTGGGCGGCACATACGGAAAGTTTCCTACGGAGAAATATGTCTTTAAATGGAGACTTCAGGAAACAAGTGCAAGTTCCTTTTATATCTGTTTTAGAAGAAGGATACCAATGTACATTTTAATAGTTTTATTTTCATTTTCCCCAAGGGGGAACCAAAGGCAGAGAGGTGTTGTGAGATACATCACACTGTTCTTATGGGTAAATCAATTTGCAAATGTTATTTCACCACTCTAGAAAAATACACACAGGAGTGTGAAGGAAGCAAACTAGTTCAGAGTGGTTGTCACGGAGCAAATATGTTAAATACAATCAGGTTTTTTTCCCTCCTAAAAATTGTGGCTCCTTCTGTTCCATAAAACCAAAGTCTTTAGTAGCCACATGCCACAGGAACCGAAATTTAAGTGGTAGCTTCCTCTGAGCATGTGCACACAAAAGCATTAGGAAAGAACTGCTCCCATGGGACCCGACAGCAGATGTGAGCGACAAAGCCCCATCCACAACAGGAAAGAAGATGTGCATTCAGTTTTATTGTCTCAGCTTCCCATCCAAACTCCCATAAACAGGTTCCATACCACTCAGGCATCTCTGATAAAAGAGTCTATGGTTCTATAAAAAGAAGTCACGCTGTAAGATCAAGATATTTACCCTGTATGTGTTCTGCGAGCGCGAAGAGGAACAACCTTCCAATTTCTCAAGATACATCCAAGCAATCTGTACGTGACCCAACTCCTTTCTCTGTCCAGCTGTGCTGTGGGAACCTCAGTTAAGTGCCTCTTCAATGGTAGAGACAGTCTGCTTTTAAAAATATTAAGGACACATTTTTTATTTTAAATCTTTAAGAACTTCCTGGAAAGTTACTGTGGAAAATGAAAGTGCTCCCATGGTGAGACCAATGTGCCAAACTCTACAGACTTCTGTCCTTGCTGCTTTCTTAGTATTCCTTCCCTTAGCAGATTCATGTTAAGATGAGGCTCAATACATCGCAACGAAGCCGTCATCCACCTGTAACAAGCAGGCAGACACTGGAAAATGTTTTATGTTTAATCATAAAACGTGGAATAAGCCAAAAAAATATTGTTCAGATCTGACCGGGATGGTCTCTCGAGTGGATTTATATACCAATGGCCTGCAACACTCGCTTTTCATTCTCATTGAGATGGTCTGAAAACATTGCATAGCAGGGCTGCTGCGCAAACTGGCAGAGGAAGTCAGTGAGATAGGCCTGGAAGGAAGACAGAAAGACCCCATTAGCATCACGGCACTTTGGGAATCCTGTTTCTTTCATGTATCAAAAGATAAACCTGAACATGCACCAAGTAAGACAAAGAGATTGCAGGGCAGAGAAAAGCGATGCAGGAGGAGGGGAAGGGCTGGTGAACAGCTGCCAGGCGGTGGCAAAAAGCAGGAGCAAAATGTCACACAGGGGCTGTGACCAGATGGGAGCATCTCCCAGTAGAGTATGAAATTCTGTCATGTTCAGTCTCCAATCTACTTCTGAC